CCAGCAAGCAACCCATGCTCTACTAGCGTTAAATCGACCATACGTAACGTTAATCCCTTGCTACAGTTTACCCAGGTCTGCCCGGGAAGGGAGTGGGGGAGAGTTGCACAATTCCCACCACCACCCTCAAGATATGCGTGCGACTGGCACGATAGGCAAACTATTATTGTTTCAGATTCAGCTACTCCAAACAAAAAGTTCCAAGCGGCACGGGCTATGGTGAGCCCGTCGTACTTACCCGGCACAGATGTGCGGATAGGCAAAATAAAATGTTATGTAAATAGTAGGTTACCTTGTGGTGGTTTCGAAGGATCTACGTCCCCGCGATCCAGTTTCTGACCAGCTTAATGATTATTGGGGACCATTAATGCAAACAAACGTAAAGGTCGTCGAATACCTACCAACTGCGTGCCAGGGCCAGGTAGAATACCTGGGAATGACATTACAGATGACTGCAAACCTTGCAACTAAGGCGGAGGAATGTAGACATTTGCACAACAGTCTAGGGCAGCCTAATAAGAGATCAACACAGCGACCATAATACAGCGGCTAGATACCAGAATCTGCAGATTGGTGCAAGAATTCAACCAACCATGAACCACTTGTTTTGATTAGAGGAAAGAATAGATGTGAATTTACACTGCGTTAGGCTTGGATATCCATATGCATGGGAAATGGACACAAGTTGTAGAAGAGGAAATAAAAGTAGTGGTCTAATTTCGCGGAGAAATAACGGACCACTGGAACAATTTTTAACAGTGGTGAAGAGTTAGAACTCAAATACGATTTCCACTCAAGTTTAACAATGCAGGATTAGAACACATTGGACAATCTTACGGAAGCCAATATCCACCGCCTAAGAAAAATGACACCTAGTGGGCCAGTTAGGGTAAGCCCCTGGAATATCCCTTACAAAACTTAGTGTGATGCACTAGGGGGAATCACAAAACTGAGCTACCGAGTCAGACTGTCCTCGTGACCGATGAGTGAGCACTTGCTATTGATTACCGAGGACAAATTTTTGCAAGGTCATATGCACACACAAAGGAATTTGAACGCCGTGAAATGTATTAAGTTTCTGTACTAATAACCAGTATTAAACTGGCAACTTTTCCCCACCTCCCATTTGGCTACATGTTGATGCCGGCTTTATGAGACGTATAATCACTAGGATGGCGATGGGCAGAGATATGATGCGGTAATTTACTCCTGTAGGCCTAGTAAATATAAACTATTACATACTAGGGGTAGTAAATATTTGGCATCAATGCCCACAGATTTATTAACCTTCCAATAAATATTGCAGCCACAAATGTTTAATTATGGAGAGAGAAAAAAGTTCCTGCAGGAAGTGACCGAGAAGCCGGATACAGGTAAGTGTAGCACCGTCCGTGTTGATGCTGTCACATTCCAACACAAGAGGAAGGAACAGGTGACAGAATGAACAACCCAGCGGGTTTTCTTCCTATTGGGGAGTGTTGTACATGCTGCTATAGCGGTGTGTCCACTCAAGATGAGTGGCGCTGCCCAGTAAACTCGCTCCTCGGGGCAAAATTGAAAAAAAATTAAATTTAAAGAGGAAGGACTGCCTACGGGGGCCCCCTGCCCGGCCAATATAGCCACCAAAGTATTTTATTTATTTATTTATTTATTTATTTATTTATGCACATACAGGAATGTACACAAGGAATGTGAGGATACAAATATGGTAATTACAGTCTTGTAAAGCCACTAGCACGCGCAGCGTTTCGGGCAGGTCCTTAATCTAAGAAAATTTTGAGGTAAATACTTGCAAAATTTATAGACAAAAAAATGATAACAGTATTTCATGATTTCATGATAAATGAAAAAAAAGAAGATGAGAGAAAATTGTAGGTACAGTATATTAAAGCACATAGGTAGCTAAGATTGATTGCAATGACAGCTTGAATGGTAGTTGACAAAAATTGGTAGTCGCAATACAGCATATGGCTAGCACATAAAAGAAGACAGCAATGAACACAATGATAAGGTTGTTTGATATTACATAAAAATTAGGAGATTGGGTAACACTAGGTACAGAGCAAATTTAAAGCTCAGTGTAGGAAACTAAGAAGATGAAGTTAGGTACTTTTTGGTTTTGCTTTTAAATAAGGCAAAAGTTTTACAGTTTTTCAATTCACTAGGGAGTGAGTTCCATAGACTAGGTCCCTTAATTTGCATAGAGTGTTTACACAGATTAAGTTTTACCCTGGGGATATCAAAGAGATATTTATTTCTGGTGTGGTGATAATGGGTCCTATTACATCTGTCCAGGGAGAGTTTCAGAGCAGGGTTTGCATTTAAGAACAGGGTTTTGTAAATGTAGTTGACACATGAGAATGTGTGGAGGGAGTTAATATTTAGCAAGTTTAGGGATTTAAACAAGGGAGCTGAGTGTTGTCTGAAAGCAGAGTTAGTTATTATTCTGATAGCAGATTTTTGCTGTGTGATGATGGTCTTAAGGTGGTTTGCAGTGGTAGACCCCCATGCACAGATACCATAATTAAGATAGGGGTAGATTAGTGCATAATATAGTGAGAGGAGAGCAGAGTTAGGAACATAATATCTGATTTTGGAGAGTATACCAACTGTCTTAGAGACTTTCTTAGTTATGTGTTGAATGTGGGTGCTGAAGTTGAGTCTCTTGTCTAGGAATAGGCCAAGAAACTTGCCATCATTTTTATTACTGATGTTAATGTTGTCTATCTGTAGCTGAATTGCATTTGATGATTTGCTTCCAAATAAGATGTAGTAAGTCCTTTCGATGTTTAATGTTAGTTTGTTCGTTGACATACATAAGTGGACTTTTTTAAATTCATTATTCACAACATTATTTAGTGTATGTGGGTTGAGGTTTGAATAGATAAGGGTAGTATCGTCAGCAAACAATATAGGTTTGATTTATTTATTTAATCGAACTAAACCTATAGAGAATCAAGTTGAGCTAAAACTTTAAAATTATTATTAATTCCTCCACTGTGATTAGTCTGAACACCTTGTATCTTAATGTGGTCGGCGTTCGATCCCCGATGGTCGAAGTGGTTAGGCGTCAAGGAATTTCACTCTGCTTCCTATGCTAGAGCCTAGTCCTCTCATTCCATCCAAGTGCTGCATAGTCGCACTGGCTTGGCGCTTTCTCCTAATTACTTTACCTTACCTGGAAAAACTTACAATGCAGTACAAGAGCACACGATCATCTGAAATTAAGCGCAACCTACAATATTTGTCTTTGCAACGTCACGAGCAAACTGCACAGTATTTAGGTCATTTAATAGCTTTTCCCTACCATAGACGTCACACACACCTGTCTCCACACCTGCCACCCCGTCCCTTCCCTAGCCGCCTCGCACACCTGTCATCCTCCTCCCGCTCCAGCGTCTCTCATACACCTGTCACTCCCCAAAACTCGCACTACACGCACTAAACACAGCCGCCACGCACACTACTCAGTGCTCAATACATTACTTAATACGATGTATCGATCGTCTCCCATATACGGAAATGGTGTAGTGAACTCCAACCATTCCCATGTTTAGTTGGTGTTGGACGTAAGGCCTACCAACCATTCCCCTGTTTGGTTGGTGTAGGACGTAAGGCCTACCAACCATTCCCATGCTTGGTTGGTGTAGGACGTAAGGCCTACCAACCATTCCCATGCTTGGTTGGTGTAGGACGTAAGGCCTACCAACCATTCCCATGCTTGGTTGGTGTTGGACGTAAGGCCTACCAACCATTCCCATGCTTGGTTGGTGTTGGACGTAAGGCCTACCAACCATTCCCCTGTTTAGTTGGTGTTGGACGTAAGGCCTACCAACCATTCCCATGCTTGGTTGGTGTTGGACGTAAGGCCTACCAACCATTCCCCTGTTTAGTTGGTGTTGGACGTAAGGCCTACCAACCATTCCCATGCTTGGTTGGTGTTGGACGTAAGGCCTACCAACCATTCCCATGTTTAGTTGGTGTTGGACGTAAGGCCTACCAACCATTCCCATGCTTGGTTGGTGTTGGACGTAAGGCCTACCAACCATTCCCATGTTTAGTTGGTGTTGGACGTAAGGCCTACCAACCATTCCCATGTTTAGTTGGTGTTGGACGTAAGGCCTACCAACCATTCCCATGTTTAGTTGGTGTTGGACGTAAGGCCTACCAACCATTCCCATGTTTAGTTGGTGTTGGACGTAAGGCCTACCAACCATTCCCATGTTTAGTTGGTGTTGGACGTAAGGCCTACCAACCATTCCCATGCTTGGTTGGTGTTGGACGTAAGGCCTACCAACCATTCCCATGTTTAGTTGGTGTTGGACGTAAGGCCTACCAACCATTCCCATGTTTAGTTGGTGTTGGACGTAAGGCCTACCAACCATTCCCATGTTTAGTTGGTGTTGGACGTAAGGCCTACCAACCATGGGAAGCCTAATTAACTGCCATTATGACAGCTTCGTAAATGACTTACGCCCCAGGACTCAAGACTATCCGTACACACGCATTATAAAAAGTGGAAACATTTACCGGTTGACATTCAACACGACCATTCAAACTCCAAACATACAAACTACACATTCATGATGCCTTAGACATGACTAAAGGTCAAGAAATGAAACAATTTCGTGAAAAACTTCAATTTAAAACCGTAAAAAAAACACAAGTCAATTATGATATACAAGTCAAATGGAGACCAAAATAAAAACCGATTTTAGTTTGACAAAGTTGAGCGACAATTGTAATTTAGCGACTGGTCGCTTGCTGATGCTAAGGAATTAAGCGTTAGTGAAGACAACTCATCAGCCTACAACAAGTGGATAAAGTACTGAAGTACAAACGAAGTACAAATATTATTACAACAGTTAATACAGAATAAGTACTAGCAAGTAACCAGAGCGTTCACCACCCGGATACTCTCTCTCTCTCCATACAGTAATGTCAACAAACCGTCAACTCGCCCCGCACGCTTCACAAGTTGAGAAAAAGTTGACACTGACCACAAACAGGAGATTGAAGATGAAGAGGAGATACTTAATACACTTCATTCCCGTGTCGAGCGCCATTTCTGCAAAACCTTAGCAAGACGTACACAACCTCCACGTACACTGGTCGAGACACAACTGAGGTCCGCCACAGAAAACGAGCGAGGCTGGACTAGGCGGAGGAATACACAGGTAAATTATGTTATAACCTCTATCTCAACTCTCAACCTTTAACCTACAAACACACTCATCTCACAGTAAATAATACTCACTATCATATACCATATTTTCCTCTAATTCAGCATCCTTTACGAATAACAGTTATATATGTGTACTGGACTAGATTATCACCCCCCGGGGTCAAACACTTAATAGTGTCTCCTTGACGCTAACAAGTAAACTGTAAATTATAAAAAGATGAACATCTTAGATACAAATATTTCTATCAGGAGTCATGCCTTGAATTCGCATTTTTGTGTGATATATTATTATTATTATTATTATTATTATTATTATTATTATTATTATTATTATTATAATCCTATTTTCTCCTATACAATCTGACCCAACTTACAATTGAGTCACATAATACTATTCATGGCTTATTCATATTTGTCATATAAAACATACATGGCGTATTCATATTTGTCATATAAAGCATACATGGCGTATTCATATTTGTCGTTGATTATATTGCTGCCTCACTCCTAGAACGCCAACACTTTCAGGTGGTTCCTTAATGCTACACACACACACACACACACACACACACACACACACACACACACACACACACACACACACACACACACACACACACACACACACACACACACACACACACACACACACACACACACACACACACACACACACACACACACACACACACACACACACACACACACACACACACACACACACACACACACACACACACACACACACAGAGCAAGACTCGACCTAGTATTCACTCTGAACGATTCAGACATAAAGGAAATTGGTCTTGAAGCCCCCGTGGGTATGAGTGACCACAGTGTAGTGTTGTTTGAATATCTGGTCGAAGAAGGGTTAATGTACTCAAGGAAGGGACCAGAAAACAAGAGGCCGGCATTTCGGAAGGGAAACTATGAGGAGATGAGAAAATTCCTAACTGAAATAGCTTGGGAAACAGAGCTCAGAGGAAAGATGGTTCAAGGCATGATGGAAATTTTCCATCATTTTCCAAGGCAAATTTTCTGCCCGAAACGCTGCGCGTACTCGTGGCTTTACAAGATTGTAAATACTATGCTATGTATTCTCACAAACCCAATGTACCTTCTTGTATATATATATAAATAAATAAATAAATAAATAAATGGACTGCATCACACAGAAGTGTAAGGAAGCAGCAGACAAGTTCGTCCCAGTCCAAAAGGAAAAAAATGAAATAGAGATGAGAAACCCATGGTTTAATCAGAGTTGCAAGCTAGCAAAGCAGATAAGTAAAAGGGCGTGGAGAAACTATAGAAACAACAGAACACTAGAGAGCAGAGATAGATACCGGAGCGCCAGGAATGAATGCGTCAGGGGTGAGAAGAGAGGTAGAGAGGCAATATGAAAATGACATAGCGAGCAAGGCAAAGACTCAACCCAAACTGCTGCATAGCCACATCAGGAAGAAAACAACAGTGAAGGAACAGGTAATGAAACTGAGGATATGGGCAGAAAGATTCACTACAAACGACAAGGAAGTGTGCGAGGAACTCGATAAGAAATTCCAGGACGTCTTCACCTCAGAGCAAGGCAAGTCCCAGAGATAAGAGAAGGAACATCAACCCAGACACCACTAGAGGAGTTTGTGATTACCAGTGGGGAGGTGAGGAAGCATCTGATAGATTTGGACGTGACAAAGGCTATAGGCCCGGATGGAATCTCACCATGGATCCTTAAGGAAGGAGCAGACGTTCTGTGCCTATCACTCTCCATGGTGTATAACAAGTCACTGGTAACAGGCGAACTGCCAAAAATTTGGAAGACGGCCAATGTAGTCCCAATATACAAGAAGGGTGATAGGCAGGAGGCACTGAACTACAGGCCAGTGTCCCTAACTTGCATTCCATGCAAGATGATGGAAAAGATTGTGCGAAAAAAGCTAGTGGAACATCTGGAGCAAAGGAACTTTGTAACACAACATCAGCATGGGTTCAGGGATGGCAAATAATGCCTAACAGGATTAATTGAGGTCTATGACCAGGCAACAAAAATCAGGCAAGAGAGATTCAGACAAATGGCTACTAAAGGGCAGACTGCATATTTCTGGACTGCCAGAAAGCTTGACACAGTACCACATAAGAGACTAGTGCACAAACTGGAGATGCAGGCAGGATGAAAGGGAAGGTACTCCACTGGATAAGGGAGTACCTAAGCAACAGGACACAGCGAGTCACCGTGAGGGGTGAGGTCTCGGAGTGGCGGGGAGTCACCAGTGGAGTCCCACAGGGATCAGTCCCTGGACCTATACTGTTTCTGATATACGTAAATGATCTCCCAGAAGGAATTGACTCGTTCCTCTCGATGTTTGCGGATGATGCAAAAATAATGAGAGGGATCAGGACAGAGGAGGATAGTATGAGGCTACAAGATGACCTAGACAAACTGAAGGAATGGTCCGACAAATGGCTACTAAAATTCAACCCAAGTAAATGAAAGGTAATGAAACTAGGAGGCCAGTCATTGTATACCGAATGGGAGATGAAGTCCTTCACGAAACGGACAAAGAGAAAGATCTGGGAGTTGATATCACGCCAAACCTGTCTTCCGAAGCCCACATCAAAAGAATAACATCAGCGGCCTATGCGAGGCTGGCTAACATCAGAACTGCATTCAGAAACCTGTGTAAGGAATCCTTCAGAACCTTGTATACCACATATGTAAGGCCAATCCTGGAGTATGCGGCCCCAGCATGGAGTCCGTATCTTGTCAAGCACAAGACGAAGCTGGAAAAAGTTCAGAGGTATGCCACTAGGCTAGTCCCAGAACTAAGAGGCATGACCTATGAGGACAGACTACGTGAACTGCACCTCACGTCGCTGGAAGACAGAAGAGCTAGGGGAGACATGATCACCACATAATAATTCTCAGGGGAATTGACAGGGTGGATAAGGATGGATTATTTAACACGGGTGGTATACGCACAAGGGGACACAGGTGGAAGCTGAGTACCCAAATGAGCCACAGAGACATTAGAAAGAACTTTTTCAGTGTCAGAGTAGTTAGTAAATGGAATGCATTAGGAAGTGATGTGGTGGAGGCTGACTCCATGCACAGTTTCAAATGTAGATATGATAGAGCCCAATAGGCTCAGGAACCTGTACACCAGTTGATTGACGGTTGAGAGGCGAGACCAAAGAGCCAGAGCTCAACCTCCGCAAGCACAATTAGGTGAGCATAACTAGGTGAGTACACACACATTGTGTACACACAAATTGACACATTGTGTGGGGGTGTGTCATTACATTAGACAACCAACGGCCAGAAAAGCGGGGTCTAGGAGCTAGAACTCGATCCTGCAGGCACAAATAGGTGAGTACACACACACCAACTCATCCTCCTGTCTTGATAGGACTTACAGGAAGGCTGAGGACCATAGTACATATACTGACATACAACGCAAGTAGAAAATAGAACTCGGTATTATTGAATTTGGACAAACCGGAAAAAAATTCTATATATAATGACAAGGCAAATTAAATTAATCTAACCTAACCTTCCCAGGCCTAATACACGCTGAGGCCTAATATAGTACACATGTGTGCTATACTAGGCCTGGGAATATTTAAGTTTGTTTTTTAGCTTCATTTGTTCCGGACTATAAAGTGAATAGTACTAAATTCTACTATCTAATTGTTTAGTACGTAAATATTTGTACATTGTTACAAAAATTACTATCTAAACGGAGGATGGGTTGTGTGTGTGATAAGCTCATATGCTCTCTCTCTCTCTCTCTCTCTCTCTCTCTCTCTCTCTCTCTCTCTCTCTCTCTCTCTCTCTCTCTCTCTCTCTCTCTCTCTCTCTCTCTCTCTCTCTCTCTCTCTCTCTCTCTCTCACACACACACACACACACACACACACACTCACGCTAAGGAAACAAAGATGCCGAAAAAAATATTAGAAAGTTTTCCTTTACAAACAGAGTGGCAGAAAGTTGGAACAAACCTTCTATAAGTGAGAAGGCGATGGAAGCTAAAACCGTCAGTAGTTTCAAAGCGTTATACGACAAAGAGTACTGGAAAGACGGGACACCACGAACGTAGCTCTCATTACATAACTACACTTAGGTAATTACACAGGGCCCCCCCCCCAAACCTAACACAAATTTAGTTGGGTAATTGACATTCATATAAATTGTGGGAGGTGGAAACTAGATCTCATAAGAACTATAGGAATGTAAGGAAGTACTTCTGCACTATAGGAAGAGTGGGCAAGCGGAAATAACTAAAGGGGAAGACTTTTTAGAATAGTCGGCTCACAGCCCATTCTCGTGAGCGTTCCCAACATCAAGAAGGTGTCGTACTGGAGTGCCCTCTTACCTACCAGAGAACCCAGAAACAGACGACGGGACAGAATGTCAATTTCGCGACCCGTTCGTGCTAAAGCTAGACACAGATACAACAAAATTATTAATGATGGTAACAGAGTCCATTTCATGTGAACTTCATCTCATGTTGGCCTCCGAATGCATGATAGAGCTGATGAATTAGCCAAAGAATCTGCCTTTAAAGGAGACATTGATTGTAACCTTCGATTGTCAATAAGCAAAATCTTGTAGATCTGAGGCAAAGTGAAATCGACACCAGTAATTCCATCTATCATCATACTATCATACAAGAGGAGCAACAAATCCAATAAAATCAGCAGACTTCTAGATGTTACTACTGCTCGGCTTAGACTCGGTTACAAGTATCTCTGGGAATTCTCATTATCTGCTGGTGTAGACCTGACCAAATGTAAACTGTGTCAACAAAATTATTCGCACGCACTCCGTCACTATGTGATGGAGTGCGAAAAGATACATGACTTCAGAGACAATTCTATAACCAATGTTCCAGAGATGTGTAAATATTTCATTCAAAATGATCTGCTACCAGAAATTTTAGCCAAATATCCCCAGT